CCCCAAAACCCCAAAACCCCAAAACCCCAAAACCCCAGGAAATAGATAAATTATTGAAGCTTCAGCAGATTATAAAATATCGATATCTCCCGGAGCTAGTCCGATCTCCTCTCCCTTTATCTGTGGAAGCAACCTCTGGAATTGGTAGTTCATCCTCGGAGGCCCACACACAAATAGCTTGTTGATGCCGTTATTCGCGAACTTGTAGTCTTTGAGGAGTTCGACCAACTCGTCGTCTTCGAGCTTGCTGCCTCCTTCTTGGGTGAAGATCAGGTTCATTTTGAAGATGTGGCCTTTTTTGAACTTCTTGTACAGGTTCTCGATGGCTTCCAAGATTTCGAGGCAGATGGCGTCTTCTCTGGTCGTGAAGTAGGCATACACAACGAACTTGGCTTTCTCTGAAAGATGATAGAAGTCTTCATCAGGGAAGAGAGCGTTAGATGGTGCGTCCTCTGAAAGGATTCTTCTAGCCATGAAAGCGAAGAGGTCCATGAAAGGCAAGATACCAGTCCCTCCTCAGAAAATCAAATTGGAGCCTTTCGAATTCCATCTATCCAGTCTAAGTCCATTGCCTACAGGACCATGAATGTAGTATCTATCAGAGGGAACACTGTTGAAAATCTGTCTTGTGATTCCATCCTTAGATTCAGGGTAAAGCTTCATAATTAGCTCAATGTTATCTTCTGTCACTTCAGCGTAATCTTCAATCGAGCTGTATTTTCGAGAGTACTCCTCTTCTCTCAGAGTAGCATTTATTACGGTAAGATATTCATCATAAATAGCTGTAGACATGCAATTACAAATAGTATAGTATCTACTTGTATGGTTCTGGAGAGAAGTAAGAGACCAACTCTTTCCAGATAGAGATAAGCCAGGATAAAACTTCTTTACCCTACAGTTTGCATTCTGAAGTTTCACTCTGGCAACTCCTTTTGAGATTTCCTGTCTATTCATCAAGATAAACTCATTGTCATTAACTTTGACAGCCACTGGTTTCAAATCACCCATGCCTAGGAAACAATAAAATTAAAGAATAATGAAAAAGAAAGATTTAAACTTACCTTTATTTTCTTCTTTTTCTTCAGAAGAGAATTTTAAGGCATCTTTCACAGTATAATTTAAAGTATTCCCTTGCTTATTGCTTACTTCAGTAATCTTTAATTTGCCCATAACAAATTCTTCCATCAAATCAGCTGCATATCTGGAATGAGTGTGTGGATCAACCCCTGGAGACATTGAATACGCTCCATAGAAGTATTTCCCAATATCCTTACCCAAATTTTCAATAAGAACATAAGTAGAGCCTGGATGTTCTTCAATAAATGGGCTAATATTAAGAACATAGTCGTTAAAAAGTACAAGCTGTTTTCCATTATTGACCATCCTCGTTACTTCTGAATGAGTGAATTCACGAAGGTTCTTTTTCCTCAGAACTCCTTTATTTTTAGATTGAGAATTCCATCTGTATCACATCTCCAATAGGAAAAGGATCATAAGGTAAATAGCAAAGTGTATATAAATCAAGTTAAGAACAGAAGATTCGTAGTTGATTAGCCCAGTTACAACTTGGTAATTGGAGACCATGATAAGGAGATATCCTAAAACACGATGGAAAGCTCTTGTTCTGTGACTCCAAATATCGCTGATAGTCTCAGAAGTTAAGATTAAATTTGAAAAGATTCCCCCAATCGATTGGACTAATGTAAGAGCTGTCACTGCAATCCCTATTTGCCTGTGAGCAAGCTGAGGAATTGAACCTGTATTGTACGTTGTTAGAGCTAATATTACAAGAATTCCTGTATTTGTAGTAATAAATAAACCCGAGGTAGCATGAATAATAAGTCTTCAATTGTAAAAATGTTTCATGTATCTTCCAGTGACAATGGAAAGAAAAGTCAAGATACTCCAGGAAATGTACATCATAATTCCATGAGCTCGATAATATGTATCTGAATCTGATTCGAATTGATTGAAGTTTATTGCTCCAGTTTTAGGATTTGCTACAAAGTAGAAAAATCCTCTCTGATTATTGCCATGATAGTCATACTCTCCTTCTTTAAAAGCATAGATCATATCTATCTTCTTTCCAAGTTTGATAGTTTCATCTCTCCCTTCTCTAACAATGTATAGAGGTCTCTGGATAGAGAGATGCCATTTTTTTTCTTGTAAATCTGCTTTGAGTAATTTATACCAATTCTCCATATTTTCTTTTGGAATATCATATCCTTCCGAATAAGTATCATAAATCTTAGGAGTCTCAGTCAAATTCTCTCCAGTTGCATCTGCAACCATGATAGGAGCTCCTGACATAGAAGTACCAAATCCTATTGCTGTGTAATAGTTTTGAGGCATTATGATATCAAATATAACGTTTTCTTTGGTTTGGTCGAGGCTTGCTTTAACCTCAATGTTATCATTAATCTTTAAGCTATATCCTCCTAAAGCAATCCTAAACTTTATAACACAAATGCTTACCCAAAATATAGGAAAAATGATATGAATGAGAGGATCTTCATGATTTAAATATAATTGTTCAAAAAATATTTTAGGACACGGGGTTTTGGGGTTTTGGGGTTTTGGGG